CTTAGAATTGGAGTGGCCTCACTCTCCCTGTCACTAGATGAGCTCAGACAAGCAGATTAGTACTGTGGCTACATGTCACTGCTATAAGCCTTGTCATCAAACCAATGGTTCAGGCTCCTTTACAAGTGTGTCCTTCCCATATGCACTTAAAACTCACATTTATATAACTTAATCATGTGCAACAGAACTCCCTTTCCCTCTCGTTCTCTTTCTCTTATCTGAGTCTGTGAAAAAGCCACACTAGTACAATGACATTCAGCACAGGATTAAAGCCCATGTAAGACACTCCTCAGCTTACACTGCTGCTGCCAAAAAGGGATCTATACAACCAGACATGCTCATACGGCCCTGTGCACACACTGGCAACAACACACATAATGTAAAATCTCTATCCCACTGCCGCTTAGCATGTTGTCCTCTTGTTAAGGCAAATGAAAGGAAGTCTCAATCCCAAATCAGAAAAAGTTGGGAGGATATGTAAAATCAAAATTAAAAGTCAGTCATGCACACATGAAGGACATACACTGACATCCTTTTGTCTTGTCTATCGTCCTTACTCTTTTCCCTGAAACCTTGTATCCTTTCCATGAATGAGCCCAGGCATCATACCCATCTGTCTGCAATTGAATATTAACCTCCCACCAACCCTTCCCTCCAATAAATATAAACACACAGACACAAACTGTATGCAGCAGGGTCACCAGGATGGACAAAGAGATGAACGGTTACAACAGAAAGCGGTGATCGAGGCTGGAGGTAGATTGAACACAGACTCCTGGGGTTTTAGTTGCATGACACAGTAAGGATCTTAGTTAAGATACTGCTGTGTATCTAGGTCACACTGTGTGTATGTGTCATCTTTTGTGCATACCTCTGGGGGTTATTTGGTTGGGTCTGGAGAGGATTCTCATTGGAATGTGTTCTGACTGTGCTAGGCAGTGATTCTTTTCGGATTGGTTGTTTATCCCCAGGCTTCTACTTTGGGGGTCCATTAAAGTACATCTTTACCACTCCCTCTTCATGTCTCTCTGATTGTTTTCATGCCTCTCCATCTCTATATGTGTGGAGTGCCACTTGTCTTTGTGTTTGATGGGCTAAAACAGAACCAGCATGGGGCCTGATCAGTATTTCTGCAGAGCCAGCCTACTGTGACCTTAGGTGCTAAGTGGCTAGTTACAGTGTGCATTATCAAAATGATGTTATTCTGTTGGTTTACAGAGGTAAATATATGATTTTTATCTGTTGTATCTGAAGTTTGGTAACAATACAAAAACCTTTGAGAAATATAAACGTTTTCCTACAAAATCCTTTACTCACTTTAGAAAAGAAGCCAAATCTATGAAATGTACTGTAAATACAAGCAAACAAAAAAATGATGTCAAAATAGATTTCATTTGATCTTTTTATCTTTTTATCTATTTAAAAGTAGAAAATGAGGCAAATCTTTTATTTTATATAGTCTGTTGACATGAAATCTAACCTGGTCTTTAAAAGTACAGCTATCACCCACTTGAAATAAAACTTAAACATTACAGTAGCTGCCTGAAGGTCTGAGAGAGAGGCTTGCTTCATTATTATTTCTCAACAAAATCAAAGTAGAACATGACAGTATAAAGCCTAACACCACTCATCAATAGGTCTCATTGTATTTTCGCACCACTCCAGTATCCTATCCAGGAGTGGCCTAGTTTGTTAGAGTGTGTACGCAGCAAGGCCTCAGCCCTGCAGCTATGGGATTAACTCCAATGCTGGGTGGTCCTTCTTCTGCTGATCTCAGAACAGCATCACCATGTACAGTGCACTCATTCTAGGTGTCAGGATTATGAAATAGGTCAGGCCACAGAGGTTTGTGTCTGACCACTGCAAGATTATTTTACTTGTTGTTTGACTTGATTTCCTGTAAAGTGATTGTGAGAAAAATCCCTCAAGGTTGGAGAATGGATCTTGTGACTTGGAAGGTGTTGGAATGAATCCCCAGGATAGTTAAGGAAAGGTTGGCTACATGGGCTTTGATTACCAGATCTCTGAAAGCCATTGTTGTATTAGGTCTTGGTCAGACCAGAACTAGCAGGGCAAAAGCTTACTTGTTTTCTTTAGCAAACACCGGGTGGGACAGGAAATAATGTGGTCAGAGTTGTGAGCATCCAGCCAGGTACACAGCTAACATTAGCATTCCACAAGTTGAAAGTGATCCAGGTTTTTAGCACCCACTTTATTTACTGTGCCGTCACTCTGCCTGCCAGCCACACACCAAGCAGTTACTGTAAGCAAACATGAAAACAGTACCTCCTGAATGAAAGGTCAGTTTTATCCTTTTCCTAAAATAGCCTAGATGATGGTAAGTTCAGAAGATATGAATGAGCTTTCTGGTATGCCTGTTTGGTGTGACTTTATTCAATTACCTTTAGGTAGAACAATACAGTAGGGGGTGAGGCAAATGGTTGCTGACTTAAATAAACATATTGGAAAAATTAAAGGTTAAAGAGAATGACAGATTCTAATATTTTTAAGTCATAATCACAGGCAGTTAGTAGCTCAGAGTCATGGCCATTAGTCTTTTTTTTTTTTTTTCTTTGTTCTTTGGCTTCCTACCTTGCCTTCCATCCTTGAACTCATCACTCTTGAGTGGTTAAGCTGGTTGTAAAGAGGACTGAGCACTGGTTGGCATTCACCATTCTCTCTCTCTCTCTCTCATACACATACGCGTACACACACACGTACAGAGCAAGCACATGTTCTCCATAAGAAAAATCTCCCAGACAGACAGGTAGTGTGACGGGAGTAGAGCTGTCGGAGGTCTGGCGTTCTCCCCTTCTGAAGGGATGGGAGCAGAGGACAATGTAAACACTCTGTCACACACATAAACAAAGCCTTGCTCAGGTTTCACTGCACAGTTAAAGAAAACTGACCCCCTCTTTTATAGAGAAAGTATTTTTGTAATTTGTTTATGTGAGATTCCATAGCTCTATTAGGGAAATTGGTTACTCTGCATCACACTACACCTGAGTTTAATTTCACTAGCTCTCTCACAGGCAGATCATAAAGATGACATTCCAGAGTGGACATAATCTATCTTTCTTATCTGTAGCTCAGTTTAATTTCTCAGCCTTCCTGTGTCTTAGTCATAGTCTTTCTCTCTAACCTCTCCCTCTCTTCTTTTCTCTGTTTTTATCTCTCTCTGTGAATAATGGCTCTACAGAGTAATTGTTCCTCAGACTTGTCAACAGGTGAACCAAAGATGTGTTGAGGCTATTTTTAATGTTAGACAGCTGTGCCATTAGGTGGATGCTTTGCAACTGATAATTTAAGCTTAACTGAGGTATTTGGGAACTTGTACCAAAAATGTAACACACACTCCTAGCTGTAACACAGCTCGTAATTAGCGGCGCCTCCTAACCAATAAAGCTTGTTTGCTGGCATGGAAGCCTAACATATGTGAATGTGCAAGTATGTGTGCCATTCTGTATATGTGGGGCTCAAAACAAAAGAAAAACCTTTCTTCTTTTATGAACACTTTATAAACAACCACTATTTGATAAAACCAATATTTACAGTGTTTCTTGTTCTATGCTAATAATATTCCTCAGCCAGCTACAGAATACTGACATATACAAACACCACCCAAACACTTGAGCATGTTCATCTTCGGCCAGCTTCGACCTCTTGCTCCTCCAGCAAGACACCGTGTGATTAGCAGCACCAGAAACAATGACCTAGCAGAACCTGTGGCACAACTGTGCAAATGAAATGAAGTGCAGGCCAGAAAACAAGACTCAAACATTCATTTGCTTTGTTTTTGCCTAACTATATATACGCATAGCTCTTTCTCTCACACAGTGTGTGTAAAGTGTGTGTGTTTGTCTGCCTGCTTTTCTGTTGTAATGTGAAGCTTTGTGTCTGGAGTTTCACAGCAAGCATTCCATTCAGACTAACTCTGTTTGTTCAGGCTTAGCCATAATTTGTTTGTGTGTGTGTGTGTGTGTGTATGTGGCCTGGTTCTACACAGGTAGTGGGGACGTAAATCCGTTTACACAGTCACATTGTGGTGACTCGATGTCCTTATGGGGACACAAAGCAAGTCCCTAAAGCGTAAATCATTACATTTTAGAGTGATGACTGGCTTTAAGGATAGGGTACAGTAAGTCTCCAGGAAATAAATGTAAGTCAATGTAATGTCCCCTGAAGTGATGGAAACACATTGTGTGTGTGTGCATGTGCTCTTGTATTACTCATGTTGTGGGAATATAAACATATTTACACACACACTTTGCTGACTCAACTTCATTTCGGGAACAATAAGCAAGATTTCATAATGTAACTGAATTTTAGAGTGAAGACTTGGTTTAAGGTTAGAGAAAGGTTAGGTTTGGGTTAAGGCAGGTTAGGGGTAGTTGTAGGCAAGTGGTGGTAATGGTTAGGTAAGCCAGTGACTCTCTGTATGTGTGCATGTCTTCCTATGGTTGTGTGAAAACATTTTAGTTCAAAACCATTCTAAAGACATTTTGGCTAGTCCTCACAACTTCAGTGGGCTGTTTCTGGGTTGAGACTTGGTCATTATAGGGTTAAGACTCAAATTATGTTAGGGTGAGGGTTGGGTTTGGTTATTTAGTTGTGAAGGATAAGATTTGGTATGAGGCAAGGAATGCTTTATGTCAATGATTGTCCTCAAAAAGATAAAAGGGACAATTTAGATTTTACATTAAGACAAGCCTGTTCTTTTGAGCTTGGAAATAAGTTCCATTCACATCCAGTGTTGGGGAGTAACTAGTTACTGTAATTAAATTACCAAATAAATGGACTGTAATTGTAATCAGTTACAGTTACTGAGAAAAAATATGCCAATTAAATTATAGTTAATAATTAAATTTGGTGATTACAAAGGGGTTACATTCAAATATATGCTTTTTAATATAAAGATCATATGTACTGTATGTTTATATAGCATTTATTCTGTTGCTCTGTATCTCTCCACCTTGCAGAATATTTTCTTTTATTTCTAGACAGTGCGGGTCAGCAAAGCAACTGGGACAAATAAGACCACCAAGGGTAGGATGCCTAGCAAGGACCTGTCTCTACATCTAGATAGGCTCCATTCATCTGGCAGCGTGCATTAAATTTTTAACATTGCTTTTGATAGATTCTCTTGTTTGACTTAGCACTGCCTCTCGCCTGTCCATCAAACCAATGCACTGAGACCACTCGACAACGCCAAGGCGGGTGGTCATGATGTCAGACAAACACTTCAGTGCATGAAATTCAAGAGTATTTTCCTTCTGAAACCAAAAAAGGGCTTTGCCTGGTGTCCATTCGGTGGGCTATATGTTTCAGCATCTATATATTATGTAACCGAAGATATGTTGAAGAATCTTTAATAAAAGATTGACAGTAATAATTGTCAAGGGCTGTTGTGAGGTTTACGCTGCCTGGTTTAAATAAAGTAACCAAAAAGTAATTAAAAGTAATAAGTTACATTACTTTGATGAAGTAATTTTAATAGGATATCTAGTGATCTTTAACCTGTTACATTTGAAAGTAACCTTCCCAAAACTGTCCACAAATAAATATGTTTTTCTCTTTATTCCTAATCAAGTCTTTTTTCTTCCTTCCCATGATTTCTGTTTGCTCCCTTAAAATGGCAATTAGAATAACTTTAGCTGTTAAAAAGGCTTTGCAAAACAGGTTAGCATCACTTTCATACTGATAGGCCTCATTGATCTTATGGGTAACGCGCGCACACACACACACACACACACACACACACACACCACCTACTGAGGGCACATTT